CCCAATGACGGCCGTCAGGACGCGACCAATCGAACCACAGCCAACGAAACCCGACGCCTCCCCAATCAATCCGGAGCCCCTAACGAGCACACGAGCCATTCGCGCTGTCTCCCTCGCACCCTCGCGGGACGCCGCCCCACCCACGGGTGCGACAGAGACAGAGCGACGAAGCGAGTCCTCGGAATCGCAGTGTAGGCCGTCCGTGTGCCAGCGGCCAGCCCGCGGGCCGAGGGCAGCCGGAGCGAGCGTCCGTCCAGTCCGTCCCGGCAAATTGGCCGGGCGACCTTGGTCCACCTTGGTTCCGGTCGGTTTCGGTGTTCTCATGGCCGCTGACTGTAGACTGCTGTAGACGCTCACATGCCAGAGGCTATGACATTCGCGTGCGCATTGAGATAACGCATCCTCGACCCGTCCAGTCCACTCGCTCGCAAGTGGCTCGCTGGCTTTCGGCTTGTCGGCGTGCGGGTGCCGGGCCGTGCGGGCCGGGCCGGGCCTCCAACGACCGGGTACACTGTACATTCCCCGCGATCGAAAGGCAAACAACCGCAAACAACCGCCGCCCCGAGCAGGCGGAGCGCGGAGCACGCCGTCGTGCGGCAGGAGGGTGCGACGCCGCGCCCCGCCGTGTCGCGCCGTGTAGTGTGCTCAGTGCACACGGCCGGGCCGCGTCGGGCGCGGCCGGCACGGCGGGGGCTGCAGCCCCAAAGTCAATGACATCCCCGCTTGCAAACAGAGGGGCGCCGCTGGCTGCAGGGCGCCGCGCCGCTACCGCCACTCAAACACGACGAGGACGCTGCCGTGCACGCCACTGACCCCGGCCCCGCGCCCCGCCCCGCCCCGCGCCCCGCGTAGCCGGTGGCCGGTGGCGGGGGGGGGGGAGGGGGCGACAGAGCGACGAAGAGACCAGACGATAAACTAATTGGCAGTGAATGGATCATTCGGCGGCGGCTGCAATATTCACCGCGACCGTTCTGTCGTTGTGACCGGCGACTGCCATTACCGGCACGGTGTGCGGGCCGCCGAGCCGCGGACAAGGGGCCTCGCCTTGCATCATGGACGAGTATCGAGCAGGACGGCCGCCCCGCCCCGCCCCGCCCCGCCCCGCCCCGCCCCGCCCCGCCCCGCCCTTGGACACGGCGGCACTGTCATTGCCGCAATGAACCGTCCGTCTCGCTCTACACACCGCCTCGTCCGCCCGACCTTGCCCGCGCGTTTCCGTTTTCATGGTGAGGTGGGGCGGGGCGGGGCGGGGCGGGGTGGGGTGAGGCGGGGTGGTTGGAGCCGTGACCAGGCGGGTAGGCGCGTGACTTAGTAACCGCACCCGATCACCCCGTGCCCGCACATGCCTCCTCCAAGACCGCCTCCTAGTGGCGTGGGCGTGCGTGGCATGGGGCTGCTTTGGAATGCAATATCGTGGAACCGAGACCGAGGCCCCAGGCCTGGCGCGTCCTTATCAATAATTTCGACTCGCGTTCCAATAAATTCTCCATCCGGTTGGAATGGGGTCCCGGAGGAGCGGAGGATCGAGGAGGCATCGCCGCAATCCCGCAACGCAGCGACGCAGCGCCGCGGCGCGTTTCCAGGACTCGTATTCAAATCCAGAGTCTGTGGCCACAGGGTATCCTGTACAGTACGCCCTGCGCCCGCCTCTCGAATCCGCGTGTTCCGGGACGCCACCCTCTCGGCCTCCAGGGTCTCCAGTGCCTCCAGCGCCTCCAGGGCCTCCAGTACCTCCAGCGCCTCCAGCGCCTCCAGTGCCTCTAGTGCCTCCAGCGCCTCCAGTGCCTCCAGGGCCTCTAGTACCTCCAGGGCCTCCAGCGCCTCCAGCGCCTCCAGGGCCTCCAGGGCCTCCAGCGGCTCCAGTGCCTCCAGCGCCTCCAGCCTGCGGGCCCGCACTCGCACTCCCACGACCCACACGATCGCCACGAGTACGAAGCACGCAGTACGAAGGGCTCCAAGGGCTGCAAGGGGAGGGAAAGGGGCCCTGGAGGCACGCCCTTTGCCGCCCGGATCGACCCTTCACCGTCATCGCCCTCCTCGGCTTCATCACACACTGCTGATTGCATTACTGGGGCCCGCTCTCTCTCCCTCTCTCTCGCACCCTCACGGCACGTGCCACATGAGTCCGAGCGAGACAGACAGCCCTGCTCGGAAGCAGCCCACACCGCATGCGCTAGCCGCGAGCGGGCGCGAGCCACACACAGTGTGGGCCCACACAGTGTGCCACTACACCGGCCAAGGCCGAGCGTGATTGTCACATCGAGTCCAATGAGACCCCGCTCGGGCGCACGGTGTCAATAATGCAGGCTAGACCCCAGGTCTCTCTCTCTCTCTCTCTCTCTCTCTCTCTCTCTCTCTCTCTCTCTCTCTCTCTCTCTCTCTCTCTCTCTCTCTCTCTCTCTCTCTCTCTCTCTCGCACTCGCGGGGCGTCGCGCTGGCCGTGGGGGTGCGAGAGAGACGGAGGAAAAATAACGAGGCCGTGATGGACGGCGAGGCCGGGCGAGGCCCTCATTCCCCATAATTTGAGCCGCAGCGGCGGCAGCCTGAATTCCAAGGCGTCCGGGCCGCCGAGGCGCCGAGCCCCCTCGAGGGCCGTCTTCAACTTCTGGACCGGCGCGGTGCGTCTCCTCGACTCGGAGAGCAGCGAGGGGGACCGCGGACCGGGGACGGGGGCGGACGCGGAGTTTCAAGTCGTCGCCGAACGCCCTCGTCGAAACATTCCTACTCTACAAACTCAAGTGTGTACATAGTACACTCCACCTGGAGTAAACATGCATGTACACTTCAACCTGGAGTGTACTTAGCATGTACACTTCAACCTGGAGTGTACTTGGCATGTACACTCCAGTTTGGCTTGTACCTTCAGGTACACTGTTGCTGGCTCCCTGCTGCAGGTATGAGCCACCTGGCATGTACTTGGCAAGTACACGCCAACCTGGAGTGTACATGCCAAGTACACTCCAGGGTGAAGTGTACATGCAAGTACACTCCAGGTGGAGTGTACTATGTACACACTTGAGTTAGTAGAGTACGCTGCGAAAAGTTTTGGACCGCTAAATGTGGGAGGTCTTCGGTTCCCGTACCTTCACTGCGAACCATGGGAGGAAGCCGGGTCCCTTCCGCTATCCCATTAGCTAGGCGGCTTGGCTCCCCCTCCAGGGCGTCCAGGGCAGGGCGTCCAGGGCGTCCCCGGGGAGCACCCCGTCACCCCGCCTCCAGGACACTCGGACTGTCCGACACCTGGCGCGGCCTGGCGCGGCTCGCTGCAGCGCCTCCCCCCCTTTCCCTCCAGTTCTCTGTTCCCCTCCGAGTCAACTTCTCAATCCCATTCCCCGACGCCACCCTTTCCAATTTCTCGGCGCCATTCTCCCCGCCGCGGGGCGCAGAGCGGAGCAGACCCTATATTTTCTAATGTAGTTCTCACCTTATTTTCTCCGCCGGCCCCGCCTGGCCCCGGGCCTCCTGGTGTGGTGCCGTGGGGACGCGACCCGCTCCGTACTCTCCGTGCTTTCCTCAACTGCTTCTTTACTATTTCATGACCCCCTCCCCCACCGCCCCCTCGCACAGAGGCCGTATTTGCCACCCTATACGGCCCACCGCGCGCGCGCGCGTGTGTGTGTTCCTCCAAATTCCCCCCGTATTTTTCCCCTCGAATAATATTCCGAGGCTCGCGCTGCTGTGGGACCGTTGCTGCGGAAATAAAGGCAGAAGTGCACGCACGGTTGAAAGGGGGAAAGAGGGGGGGCACGCACGCGCACGATCGCCGCCCCGCCGCGTGCCCGGCACGCCCGTGCGCCCTATTGATCTAGGCATCTGGGGGCGGCGGGCCGAGGCGCGCGTGCCCTATCTCTTGTCCAGGAGGACTTGCACACGACGGCGGCAGGGACGTCCACGGCCGGGCGCGCACTGGGCCAGAAGGCCGGTGGAGGCGGCCAAAATTCTAGACGCGTTTTGAGCTCCAGAGTCGCTGATTGGAACTCGAACCGAACGTGTGACCCCACCAATGGATTGCTCTCCGAACGAGGCATCCATTGGTGGGGTCACACGTTCGGTTCGAGTCCTGTTTGGCGACTTTGGATCTCCAAAACGCGTCTAGAGTTTTGGCCGCCTCCCCTGGTCTTCTGGCCCACTGTGCAGTGGCGTGCGCGTGCGCGCTGATTGGCTATCTCTGTCTGATTGCCTGCCTGCTGGCGAGGCGCCGCGGTCGTTCAAGGAGATCATCATGGAATTTCAAACAAGGCGCGCGCCGCGCGTCGTTCATGACTTATTTTTTTTGTTCGATATCAAAAAACTGGCGGTGCGCGTAACGGCCTTCTCGTACAGCGGCTTGCCCCTCGTAAACCATTTTAGCGGCCGGCGCGCTGCTCGGCGCTGCTCATCGGAACGTCGGGGATTTGGTGGAAAGGGGGTGGGGGTAATCCGCGGTGCGGAAACACCGGCATGGCCGAGGCCGTGGCCCGTCGGCCCCATCGGCCCCCGCCGGGCTGGCTGCGGGGGCTTTGGACTTTATCCCATCATTCTTTGCGCGGGGCGTTCACGTTGGCGGCGTGGCTGCCCCCTGGAAGGCCTGGAAGGCCTCGAAGACCGTCATTACCATACGAGGCGAGGCGTGCCTAAGCGGCGCCATAGGCCATAATTCCGGGAAAGTGACGTAAAAGAAAGAGGCTGTAAGGCGGTAAGCGGGGGAACAATGCCGGCCAGGTCGGGGCAGGGCGGGGCAGGGCGGGGCAGGGCGGGGCGGGGCGGGGCGGGGCGGGGCGGGGCGGGGCGGGGCGGGGCGGGGCGGGGCGGGGCGGGGCGGGGCAGCCTCCAGTGCAGCTGCGAGCGTGGCCTGGCCCTTAATGGTAATGGCAATGGCTGGGTAGGCAGCCGGCCGACTGCGACGCGCGGCCGTGCGGCGGCCTGCCTACCCTCGCGTCTGCGGGCGGCGGCCGCGCGCCTCGAACTGCTGAAGCGAGACTGGACGTTGACGCTGCGGCGCTCTGTCCTTTCTGTTGCAGAGTAACTCCTGGCGGAAGGCGGACGGGCAGAGGGGCGCCGCGGCGCCCAGGGGCCGGCGTGGACACAGCGCCCTGGTGTACCGCGGCAGCATGCTCGTGTACGGCGGCTACCGCGACCTCCGGGGCTCCTCCAACGAGCTGTGGGCCTTCCATTTCGGTACGTACTACGCGTGCAGGCTGCCGGCTTGCCACGGCTTGCCGCGGCTTGCCCCTCATCCGCTTAGAGCCCGGCGGAGTCCCTCGCGGAGTCCCCGCTGCGACCCACAGTGGGCCAGAAGACCGGTGGAGGCGGCCAAAACTCGAGACGCGTTTTGAGCTCCACAGTCGCTAAACAGGACTGGAACCGAACGTGTGACCCCACCAATGGATTCCTCGTTCGGAGAGAAATCCATTGGTGGGGTCATTCGTTCGGTTCGAGTCCCATTTAGCGACGCTGGAGCTCAAAACGCGCCTCGAATTGTGACCCCCGCCACCGGTCTTCTGCCACACTGTGCGAACGGTGCTTGGATTCGCCCTCGCCCCACCGGCCCCACCGGCCCCACCGCTACACGGAACCTTCGTTAAGACAGGGAGGGTGGCGACGAGGAAGTTGCGGAGGCGCGGGAGGGTTGGGGCTGGGGGGCTCTCGCGTAAATACCGAGTTGCGGGAACGCGGGCTGGGGCCTGCGGGCTGGGGTGTGAAGCGATAGTGCGAGGGGCTTCGTGGGGCTGGCGTGCCTGCCCGCCACCCTCCACCGCGCGTGGCCAATCTCGATTTGGCTGCCAGTGTACACACTGCACACGGCAGCGGGGGCTGGCAGCGGCATAATTCGATGAAACAGCGCCGGACGGACGGAATGTGGACTCTTTCCCAGTTCGCGTTTGGATCGCGGGACCCCGATTCGATCAATTCGCGCCTCCTATTTGTTGTAAAAATATTCTCGTCGCCTTTCCAGAAACCGAGTCGTGGCACATCATCAGCTCGGGCAAGACGATCAGCAAGTCGGACAACATCCCCCCGGCGCGCCACAAGCACTCGGCCGTCATCCACGACGACACCATGTGGGTCTACGGCGGCATGACGGACCTCAACGAGCGGCAGGACCTGTGGCGGATAGACCTGCGTGAGTGACTCAGTGGTGCCAGTGGACTGATTCCGAGAGTCGCTAACGTCGCTGTGTCTCTCTCGCACTCGCGGGGCTCTCCGTAGATAGGCGCTGAAAAACGACTTTCGGAATTAGTCCAGGTTTGAATACCAACATCGATGCCATGTGTGTGTGTGTGTGTTAACCCGGTGGTTGTTTCTCCCTTTCCAGACCGGAAGCGCTGGTACTGCGTGCGCTCCAAGCAGGGCAAGTCGGGCCCCGGTCCGCTGCACTCGCACGCGGCCTGCAAGCTGCCGGGGTGCATGCTGGTGTTCGGCGGCGAGCGCGCCGGCCAGCCCAGCGCCGACCTGTGGCGCTTCCACTTCGGCACGGAGACCTGGGACCGCGTGGCCGTGGACGGCCCCAAGCCGTCGGCGCGCGCCGAGGCCGTCGCCCTGGCCGTGTCCGAGCTGCTGCTCGAGGCCGCCACGGAGGACTCCTTGGCCACGTCCCCCCGCGAGGCGCGCTCGCCCCTGCAGCACCAGCCGCTGCGCCGCGTGCGGGCGGGCGGCTCCGTGGACCGCCAGGGCAGCGGCCGCATGTCGCTGCACAACCGGGTGTCGCCGTCCGGACAGCCCGGCCTGGCCGCCAGCGAGAGGAAGTACGTGTTTAGGCCCGGGGCGCACAACTACGTGGATGGCAGCGAGGACAAGGACAAGGAGAACAGGTCACCAACGCCACGGCTCTTTAGCATGTCCGCTATATCGGCCCTGCGGCCCAGTGCATGACGGGAGGGGGCACCCGGGGGGGGGGGGGGGGGGTAGTAGTAGAGCGATTACTCACCGGCATCAGCGGCGCAGTTATGCCGACGGGGTTCCGCAGCGTCAGCAGACTGGTTCCGAGAGTCGTTCTCGCCTCTGTCTCCGTCGCACTTATCCGGGACGCCCGTGAGTGCGAGGCAGAGACAGAACGACGAAAACGACCCTCGGAATGAGGCCGCGCGGCTCGCGACTGTGGCGAATCAGCGAGAATGGAGTCAGCGGAGGGTGGAGGGGAGGGGGGAGGGGAGGGGGGAGGGGAGGGGGGAGGGGGAGGGGAGGGTGGAGGGGAGGGGGGAGGGGAGGGGGGAGGGGAGGGGAGAGGGGAGGGGGGAGGGGAGGGGGGAGGGGAGGGGGGAGGGGAGGGGGGAGGGGAGGGGGGAGGGGAGGGGGAGGGGAGGGGAGGGGGAGGGGAGGGGGGAGGGGAGGGGGGAGGGGGGAGACCGCGGCGGCCGCGGGGGATGAACACTGGCGGTCGGCGCGTCGGCGCGCGGCGGGTTGCCGGGGCTTTGCTGTTGATCGCCGGGGCTTGGGGCGCCGTCGGCGGCGGCGAGGCGGGGCAGGGCGAGGCAGGGAGCGTGGCCGGGAATTCAATGAATGCAATGATTTGAGGGAGACAATGGCCGGCGATTTGCACCTCCGTCGTGCCGGGCCGAGGCAGGGCCGAGGCCGCCGCTGGGGCTTGCTGGCCGCTGGGCCGTTTGTCAAGCTGGACCGCCCGCTGGGAGCCTGCCTGGCACAGCGCACTAGGCCTGGGCGATTATTGGTTGTAATCGTAATCGGCCGATGAATAAAATAATCGCGATTGGTGTCGATTAGCAGTTCGGTAATCGGTAATCGAAAACGTACACGATTAATCGAAAATCAACGATTAATCGGGGGAAACCGATTATTTGGAAATTGACAAACAAAGGTTAATAATCGTATTATTGTGAAAATAGCATGTAATAAGAGGATAGGAAAACCATTGGCGCAACCTCGAGTGTCTGAGACAGCTTTTTCGTGCCTTAACTGAAAACTTTTCAAGACTTTTCCGCTCAGAATTTGAACAGGTGATGGATAGAATATCCGATAATGAGACGATTAATCGATAATCGATCATCGTTAAATAATCGGTCAATCCTTCGATTACCCAACCACTAATCGGGGGTTTGAAATAATCGGACGATTAACAAAATAATCGCGATTATTTTCGATTATTCGATTAATCGCCCAGGCCTACAGCGCACAGCGCAGGCCGACATGGCCGGCATGGCCCGCCCCGCCGCCCCGCCGCCCCGCCGCCCCGCCGCCCCGCCCGGAACGCCATTGTTCCCGAGCGGCCTCCTCTCCAATGTATGGAGAGGATTCAACCGCACCCCACCCCCGCCTGATTGCACGATGGAATGGAAGCCGTGTTGATACTTTGTATTTTTGCCTCGGCCGGCAGGCTATTGGATATTGGATTCCTAAATACAAAAGATCTTCCTCTCACTGTATTTTTTTTGGTTGCCACTCTTTTGGCAGCATGCCTTGGAAGCAGAATCAACAGCCTTGCTATATGGCACGATAAATGGAGGTGGAATCCCTGTAGGTTCCACTCAGTAGAACGCAGACTGCAGACTGTCCTGCCTTGAAATATAAACACCCTTTCTCCGCATGTAGCTCGAACAACCGCATGTTCTACTTCTTTAGAAAAACGTATTCCCTGGCATTAGTAAAATCGTAGTTTGTCATGTATTTTTGTTTTATAAAGCAAACGATGTAACGTAGAGTTGTGCGTACTTTTCGATCTGAGATTCGTACTACTTTCGAAATGTATTTTGCTAAGACGGCGTTAGTCGCGGCGGTGTAACAGTGTGCTTGGCTGCGCAGGCGGAACGGGCTCGTCAACGGGCACCACAACTCCAACAACCAGGCCAGCACCCCTAACGGCTTCGGCTCCAGCAACCTGGGCTTCCTCAAGGAGATCTCCAAGCTGTCGCAAATCAACCTGAGCCGCCTGGCCCACCACAAGTGCAACTACTCGGTGCTGGACGCGGAGGAGGGCGAGCGCACGGTGGACGAGGACGGCGACGGCGACGGCCAGGTCGGCCCGCGGAGCGCGCCGCCACACACCAACGGCAGCGACGCGCCGCCCACGTCCAAGCTCAAGAAGTCCCAGTCGGCCAACCTGCTGTCGCGGCGGCCGCGCCCCACGCTGTAAGTACTCGCGGAGCGGCTGGCTGGTGACCTAGTTCTTGTTGCCGGCCTGCCGACCGACACCGAGAGTCGGTTTCGTCGCTCTGTCTCTCTCGCACCTGTACGGGGCGCCCCAGGAGTGCGAGAGAGAGAGAGAGAGACAGAGTGACGAAAACGACTCTCTGAATCGGTCCCTCCAGGTCCAGCATCCCGAGGAGAAAGCCGCTGCCGCGCGACAACGTGTCCGTGCCGAACTTCACCACGCTGGCGTCCACCCTGCCGACCCCCGTCCTCACGCCGGTCAGTAACCCAAAGCAACATTTTCGTCGCCGTATTGCCTCGGCGCGCTCTCCGCGGCGCTGATGCGAGCCTGCTTGGCGTGCTGCAGGTGGAGGCGGCGCGCCTGGTGTTCCTGGACTCGGACGAGCCCGAGGAGGAGGAGGAGCTGTCGCCGCGCGGCGAGTACATCCGGCCCGCGTCGCCCGGCGGCCCCGTGGGGCCCGGCACCCCCGTCACGCCGGGCGTCGGCATCCCGGGCAGCGCGAGCCGCGACTTCAGCCTGCTGCACCAGCAGTTCACGCCCAAGCGCCGCTCCGAGTCCTACACCTCGCACCTGGGCCACGCCGCCGAGCTGCAGCAGCGGCAGCTGCAGGAGGAGCAGGACCTGCTGCGGCAGCAGCAGCTGGAGATGCAGCAGCAGCAGCAGAGGGCGCAGCGCACCATTCCCAAGTCGGCGTCCGTCCGGTTCCAGCCGCACCTCGAGGAGGTGCGTGTCGCCTGTCGCACAGTGGATATGCCAGACGACCGGCGGTGGAGGTGGCCGGAATTCTAGACGCGTTTTGAGCTCCAGAGTCGCTTGATGGGACTTGAACCGAACGTATGATCCCGCCAATGGATTGCTGTTCGAAAGGGGAATCCATCGGTGCGGTCACACGCTCGGTTCGAGTCCCATTTAGCGACTCTAGAGCTTCAAACGCGTCTAGAATTTTTGCCGCCTCCACCGGTCTTCTGGCCCACTGCGTGTGGCCGTCCTGGCGTCCTGGTACACGCCGCACGGCCGCCTCATGCTCTAATCCACCCTTCTTGCCGCAGGTGTCCGACGAGAACATCTCGAGCACGTCCGACTACGCGAGCATCGAGACGGTGAACCGCCTGTCGTCGGCCAGCACCTGCAGCAACAGGCCGTCCCCGGTGGACTCTGGAGGTGCGTCCGCAAGGGTCGTGCTGGCCTTTGCCGCCACGCCGACGGCACGCCGACGGCACGGGGCGGCACGGCGGCACGGGGATGGGGCGCCAAGCAAACAGCGCCAACTGGGTCGACTTTTAAAGAGCACCGCCAATTCTGGCGCGGGAACAGGGCGTCCTCGTCATTAGACGCAGGTGGCCCGGCCTGCCCACCACCGCCTCCCCCGCGCCGCCCGCGCCGCCCCCGCCGTCGGGGTGGCGTCGGCGGCGAAGTTAGTTAAGCAAAGAAACGATAAAGAAAACAGGCTGTCGGCACGGGGCGAAACGGTTGTCGGGCCGCGTCGCCATTGCTCGTCGTGGTGCGTGGCTGCATGGCGTGGCGTGGCCTGCTGTTGACCCAATCGATGTTGTTGGCCAAGCCGGCCGGGGGCTTGACTTTGGAGAGGCTCCGGAAGCCAGCGGGAATCCACGGCCCCCTTCTGTCCGTCCTGTCCGCTACACTGCTCTGACACTGGCCGTCTGCTCACAGGGAAGTCCGCGTCGCGGCCGGGCTCGGGCCGCAAGACCCCCCTGGCCGCCAGGGAGGGCCCCATCAGCTTCTGCAACCCCAACTACATGGGCCCCGAGGCGCGGCGGCAGCAGCAGCAGCAGGCCAGGAAGTCGTGGCACGCCGGCATGCTGGGCCTGTCGCCGACCTCGTCGCCGTCGTCCTCGCCGTCCGCCGCCACTCCGCAGCAGGCCGCCGCGCGCCTCCTCAACTCGCCGCCCGACTCGCTGCTCGAGGACCCCTGCGGCAGGTCCACCAGCCAGTGCTTCCAGGTCGGTCGCGTCTGTTTCGGTTTGACCGCGTCGGGGAACGAAACGTGTCTCTAAATGCTCTGTCTCATCAGGACGAAGAGGTAGAGATGCAGCAGATCGGTTCTCCGCCCAAGCGCGCGCCGCCGCAGTCCCTGGCGCTGCGGAACACGGCGCACCCCGCTTGCAACCACCACCACCAGCACCACCAGCACCACAACCACTCGGTGAGTAGCCCTGGCCGCCCTGGCCCTAGCCCGCCTGCAGGCTCACCTTCGGAGATGGTGACCGCGGCCTCTGTTTCCCAGATGCGCGGGCCGAGCAAGTCGCGGGCCAGCAGCGCCTCGCGGGCGGAGCGCGGCATGGCGCGGACGGAGCTGGACGCGGAGGACGCCGTGGACGCGCCGGCCGCCCGGCACCAGCCCGCCGCCGTCTACATGTTCCTGGTGGGCGGCAAGGAGCACGGCCAGGTGACCGTCTTCAGGAGGCCGCTGTCCGTCTGGAAGCTCCTCCTGCACCACTACGCCTTCTGAGACAGCTGCGCCAGCCCACCCCACCGCCGCCGTCAGAGTACAAACGGAGCAAACGGGGACCCTGCGAGTGGCGGCATGCGCTTGGACTGCTGGCTCCCAGGGACCCCGGGTGCCTCGATTGCTTGCATTGCGGGTGCATCTTTTTGCGCAAAAGAGTCTAGCTTTGCGCCTACTCCTGATTCGCATTCATGTTGCAGTGAGAGTAGTGCCAATTTTTGTATTCTTCCATGAAAGAACAATAACTTTCAATAGGATTAGGTGTGTTGTTATCTTTGAGTAGGTGAATTTATCACAAAAAGTCCATAGGGAAAAAAATGTATTACCGTGCCAAAGTAATTTTGACCCACTCCAGACTAAATTGACAGAGCGGCAAGTAAATTTATGATCTTTGCTGAATTAGTGGTGTGGTTTTAGTATATCGAAAACACTAAATCACATATAGAATTTAAAAGAAATTTTTAACAAATCACTTTTTAAAGAGTCCTTGAAAGAGATCAATTTGTAATAGATCATCATTTTATCCAAGGGAGCAAGTTAGATGCATTTTTGTGAGGTATTTTTTATAACTGGAGAAACAGAGAAAGGATTTTTTTGACCGTCCAAAAGAGCACAAAGTTGGCCTGATGTAGAGGAAGTAGTCATCTGAATTGGTAACCATGCGACCGTCCAAAGTATTGTTTTGTGACCAACCCAGATATCATGAAAAAAAAAAAGGAAAATCCGATGAAATAAAACTCATTTCTTTTTTTCCTGCTTCAAAAGTACAACTTCTCTTTAATGTTTGTAGTTGCAACTCTTAATGTAACCCATGTGTTGTTGATTTTCTCAATTTTTATATTTTAACTCTTTTCAAAGATCTCCTTGTTAAGTTTAAGTTTCCTTTAGTTCAATTCATACTTTTCATTTTAAGTCAGAGATTTAGAGTCATAGTAAGAAGAGGAAGAGTCACTCCCAGCTTGTTCGATTTTCAAGCAATTTGAGTAGTGTTTGAGTTACTGTCTATGAAATCTCATTTTTTTCTATTGCTGCAAATTTTGTATCGATGCAGCTAAAATGACTGGACTGATATATAGAGCAGCAGTGAGTCTGAAGGTAGAAGAACCTAAAGAATATACATTTCAATTCAGTTTTCATCCAAGATGTTTTTCTAAATTTCATATAATTTTGTGAGTAAAAGTACAATGTTGGATCTGAATTTTCTTTTATAAATTGAAAGAGGGGTAACTAGACAGTTTATAAACAACAACTCCTTAAGTGAATTTTGAACTTTCTGATTTAATATTCATTCCAGTATTTGTACCAAGTAGTTGACTTAGAATCCAAATAAAGCAGCTCCAAAATCAAACTTTAGTGTTTTCATTATTTTGAGCATCACTTGAGGGATGAGATAACATTATCACAGCAAACATGCCTCTTTTCCCTGCTTAATAGGGAAACAATCCACATTTCATAACTTCATCAATTTTACAGAATTGATGGAAAATATGAAAAGAAAAAAAATACATTTACAGATAGAACCAATCAAAACAGATACACTTATAACAGAATCTTGAGCGATTTTGGCTACCTCAATAAATATCATACCTCACACAAACATATTACAAACCTGCTTTATTATTTAAGAAAAGTAGCAACTAAAATGTATGCACACCTTTAGTATCATATGACACTTGCAGTTTCAAATGCAGAGCTAGTTACAAGACAGTACAATAACCTTACTTTAAAACACATAAATCGTGAGATATTATTACAAAAGCAAACAATGATGATGATGTATATGAGTTTCAATGTAAAGTTGCCTAAAATTTAATTAAACTTCAAGTTCATAATTCTAAAACAAATTAAGTCATGAAATATAAATGATTGAAAAGTTTCACATGAATGTTAGTTATTGTCCCATCGGCTTCTTTTCTTTTTTGAGTCTGATTTGTTGTAACTTCCTCCATCATCGCTAGATGAGGATGCTGCCACAAATCCTCCGTATGAACCTGAGCTTTTCATAGGGGCTCCACCTAAGTAGGTGCCTGAGCTTAAAGTGGTTCCTCCAGAGCTATTGCTGCCCCTTCGACCACTACCACCATCTCCGCCCCTGTTATCAGAGTCTGCTTTCACAACACCATAGTCTGATTTCTGGTTTGTTTTCTCCCAAGTTGTATCTTCTGAAGCAGTAAATTGGCTCATGTACTGGGCTTTGAAAGCATCTCTCATAGCTCCAAGCCTGGCGGATCCAGGCCCTCGAGATCTTTGAGAAGCTTCAGACGTCTTCATGAAGCAGAAAATAAGATTAAGAATCAATCAATCAATCAAAATTTTCTTAAAGTGTCACAAATTTGATAAGCTACTACTTACTGAGGAATAAGAATTGGAGCTCTGACTTCCATAGGCTGCAGAAGCAGAACTGCTTGGCTTTTGCACACTGCTACCACTGGCACTATCACTGCTTCCAAATCCGGGCCGTTCTCTGAACCCAAGACCTTGTCCACCAACATTCATTTTCTTTCCCTTACTTCCCTTGAATCGAGATTTCCTGAACCAAGCACTCTGCAAATTGAAAAAGTCTCTCAGGATTAATTTTAACATAACAGGTATTTAAATACTTCAAATATTGAAAGACATAAGATGAGGTGAGGTGAGACAAATCAATATTTAATCTTACCTGCATTGCTAGGTCCAGTAATGTTTCTGGAACCTCTTGATTGGCTCCTTCCAAATTACGTACCAAGTGACCAGCAAATTCCTTATCTTTATCGGTTACAAGAGTAAATGCTGTTCCCTTCTCCCCAGCACGACCTAATTTGAAGAACACAAGATATAAGTATGTGCTTAACAAAATGAACAAATTTTAAATACCCATTCTAAAATTAGTTAAAGGCATTTTACCTGTACGTCCAACTCTGTGAGTATGGGTATCAATGTCTCGGGCGATATCATAGTTCACTACAGTTCTTATGTGGGGAATGTCTAAACCACGAGCTGAAAGCAAAATAATATAATGGATTAGAGCACGCTATAGAAAAAATACATTTGTCTAACAATTTCAATTTTGAAAATGTTCAGCTATCTTTTACTTACCAGCTACATCTGTTGCAACCATAATATGACATTCCTGTTTCTTAAAATTTGTGATGACTTTATTTCTTTCCAACTGATCCATATCACCATGTAACAACAAAACCTCATACTCCTTCAGCTTTAAGTTGTTTGCCAACTCTTCAGCATTTGCCTAATGAGAGAAAATATGAAAAATCTAAACTGACAAATAAAATGTAAATCTTATATCTAACAACAACACACATACCTTTTTTGTGACAAATATAAGCACACTACCAGCTGATAAAAATTCAACTATGTGACCTAACAACCAAGTCCATTTTGCTGCTAGAGAACTCAATACTAGTACAATTTGAGTAACATCTTCATTAGCTTCTCCAACATCACCTTGAACAATCCTTACAGGATCCGTCAAAACGTCACGAGCCAGCTTCTCAACCCTTTTTTTAAATGTGGCACTGAACAGTAGTGTCTGTCGATCTGGCCTGACATGATTGCAAATGGACCGGACCTGAGGTTCTGAGAAGAGAGAGATTGAGGTCAAATACTGCTAAATGGAAAGTCTATGAAAAAATTAAAAAATCCAAAACTTACCAAAGCCCATATCGAACATTCTGTCAGCCTCATCTAATACAAGGAATGATACTCTTTCCAAATTTGTAGCTTTCATTTTAACTAAATCAATCATTCGACCGGGTGTGGCAACAACAATTTCTGCTCCAGATTCAAGAGCTTTGCTTTGTTCCCACTTTGACCCGCCACCATAGCAGCAGCACACTTGCAGTCCATACACTTTACCAAAACGTTTTGCTTCATTATAAATCTAAAGAAACATAAATTAGTTATAAGTACGCCCTCTAAATTAAGTGATCCTAACAAGATAATTTAGTACTGCAAAGGCTTACCTGCTGAGACAGTTCTCTTGTAGGAGCTAAAATAAGTCCGATAGGGCCATCACCAGGCTTCAATTCTCGTTGGTCCATGATATGGACAAGCATAGGCCAGATAAATGCTGCAGTCTTACCACTTCCAGTTTTAGCAATACCTGCAAAGGGGGGAAACATATTAGTATAGACATTTTAATTTTTAAAAAGCACACAAACAGAAGTTCTTAAGAAAAATCTGCTTACCAATTATGTCTCTCCCTCCCAAAGCAGCAGGAACAGCCTGTGCCTGGATTGGTGTAGGTTTAGTGTATTCAAGTTTTCTGATAGTTTTTAAGAGATTATCATCAAAACCAAAATGAGCAAAGCTTGTGACTGGGTGCGGGGGTGAGACTCCGGTCACCTTCAGTCCCAAAGTAAGACGAAGATCAACAACTTGTTGATATTTCAAACTACTGATTTCTTCATGCACAGTATAAAAGTTCTTTTCAAATCGACAATAATCAATTGTTGAATGGTCAATTGCTGGCAATGGATCGATTATCTACAAAGGAAGCAAGATGCAAGAACAAGGGATTAGAACTTGAATGACTTGTGAAAAAATTTTTGTCCTTATTACAGCTGATATTATTAAACTCACTTTCTTCTTTATTTGAACAATAGGATTTCCATCTTCATCATACTCCATGTCATCATCTTCATCTTCATTTTGCACACCTGCCATGGGATTTTCCTCCATATATCTGTAGTAAGATTCCTCTACATCCTCACCATCAATATCATCTCTTACACCTTTGGCTTTTTCCTCCTGAACTTTCTCTGTCTTTTTCTTTTCTTTCGTAACTTGCTGTTCTATGCCAGCCATGAATGCATCAAGAGGATCTTCTTCTGAGTCAGAGTCTTTAGCGTTGCCCTGATATGAGGGGCTTCCAGGGGCAGGTATGTAGGCAAGTTGGGGAGCTGTAGATTCGTCATCATCGTCAAAATACCTGCGCAACAGGAACAAAAACTTAGTTAAATCTTCCTCTACAACCTTCTTCAAAATCATACAACGTCAATGTGTACTCACTCATCTTCTGTCTTGGCCCTCTTTTTGGGACCGCCCCAACCACTAGCAACCATTGCATTTTGTGTGATCGCAGACATGGTGGAGTAACCGTGCTTGCTCACATTGCTTGTAGGCGGAGGAGGTATAGCTGCAGCTCGCTGCTCTCGCTTTGACATTTGAAAGCCACCGAAGCCAAAGCCTCGGGGCTTCCCGTCCCCACCTTTGTTAAAGCTCATTACTTTTCTGAAATTAAAAATAAAATGAGATTGGACTTGTTCCAATGAGCATACCTATGACTATGCTTTCATAAATTGTCATTAAAACTAAAGAGGGAAGGTGTACTGACGGGGAGAACCGCTGCTCAAAAGTCATGTCTAATATTTTATAAAAGCAGAATTTGGGTGAGCAAAAAAGTATACTTTCGGTTGATAACCTAGCAAAACACTGCACTGTTTATGGTGAGTGTGTTTACCATAAGAGACAGGCTCACAACGTTAGCAAGGCACGCAACCAAAGAAAACCGTGAACAATGACTTAAAATGAGGAATGGGGACTTCTCTCTCTGAAAATAACAACACTAAATAGAAATAAAAATTTGTCAAACCTCTCGACTCAAATTCTTCAACAACAACAAGGGTGAGAAACACTATAGACAGAACGGCTTTGGTTTGGTGCGAATACTGTTTCAGTTCAGTTTCCGTTCCGAGTTCCGCGTTCCGTTCCGTAGTTCCGTTCCGTTCCTTGTTTCGTGGTTCTCGTCGTGTTTGGTCGTGATCATAAATGTTGACGAGCTAGATTATTCCTTTTGATGTGTATGTTGAGCAAGTTTTTCACGATTTGTCACAGTTGACAGCAGTTGACAGAGCCTTGGAGGCTGGGGAAAGTGGTCACACTCTGCCATCACCGATTGGGGTGTTTTTGAGATAGAAGACAAGTCTAACCTCTGCTGCATGTGCTGTTCGGTTGGAGTAAACATAACAATATGACAAGGTTTGCTAGAGCGAAGGGCTCGAAGTCCTCGAATTCCAGATCAGCAGAAGATGCCACTGATTGGAAAGAGTTCAAACGCCAGCCTGAGAAACCAACGAATGAATATAGTGCTGTAGTGAAGAAGACCATCAAACAGATCAAGGAAGGTGGTCCCCCAAAGGCATCAGCTTGGGCAGATTTCGGTGTTACTGCGCCTCAAGCAACGTCGAAAAGCAAAGAGAAGTCTTCAAAGGGTGAAGAGTCAAATGAAAAGCCGAAGAGAAAACGAACACGAAAACAGAAAAAGCCTGTAGGAGGTGATGGAGATGAAGGAGCGAACAAGAAGGTAAAGCCGGAAGATCCTGAGAAATCAAGTCAATCTCGAGAGAATTCCATATCAAATGAATCCAATCCAAACGTAAATGGAAAGTTTCCAAAGGACAACGAGTCCATTACAAAGCCGAAGAGAAAGCGAAAGCACAAAAAGTCTGTTGGAGATGAAGGGGACGAAGGAGCCCAAAAGAAGCCTAAGGCGAATGAGCCTGAGAAAGCAAGTCAATCTCATGAGAATTCCACATCTAATGAAACCAGTCCACACAAAAATGGAAATTTTCAAAAGGGTAATAAGTCCCATAAGAAGCCAAAAGGTGAATCCAATGCAAACCAAAATGGGAAGTTTCAAAAAGGCAACCAGTCTATTAAGAAACCAAAATCTGGTATTCAGCTACCAGATGGTACATTCAAGAAAAGGAAACCAGTGGAGTCTCGCACTCTTCAGATCAATGGCACATCAGTGCAAGTTATAAAGTTTGATGGGTACGATATCAAACAGGAAGATGCTGTGCGGCTTAAGGAAATTCGACAGAAAATGCATGAAGCGGGCATCCCCAAAGCTGAGATTGATATGGCAATGAAAAGGGAACGAAGAAATGCTGAGAGAGCATTGCATCGCGAGCTAAAGAAAGTATGTTCTGTTATTGGGGGTGTGAAAGACAAACTGACTTTTGCTACTTTTACTCCAACTAAGCTGGATTTCTTTATCACTGTTCCAGGTATGCTTCAACTGCCGCAAAGCTGGACATCCATTATCCGAATGCCCCGAATTGGTCTCAAGCGAATTCAAGAATGTAGAGAAAACTGGCACTAGCAATATTTGTTACAAATGTGGTTCTACAGAACACACGCACTTTCAGTGCCAAGTCAAGAAGAACAAGGAATACAGCTTTGCCACTTGCTTTATTTGTAAAGAGCAGGGCCACATATCAAGCCAGTGCCCTGATAATCCTAGAGGACTGTATCCAAAGGTAACATTACTTTATTTCATTCCCTCAACCCTTACTCCTTTTCTTTGTGATGATTATTATAACACGGTGTTTTGTTATTTTGCATAACAGGGAGGTTCCTGTAAAGTCTGTGGTGAAGTCACTCATTTGAAAAAAGATTGTCCCCAGCTTGCCAAGGACAGGACTGAGAATGTTGTTACTCTTGACACATTTTCATCGACCAGCAATGTGGAGAGCCTGGAAGACAAAGTGAATAATACCAAGCCCTTCAACAAGACTCCTAGACAAAATAAAATAATAAAGTTTTAAGTGGAGGCATTGTATCTTTATTATATTCTTAAATAATTGGACAATAAAATAAAGCAGGCAAATCTGTAACTTCTAATTCAAATTATATTGGTACCTTGATTCCTTGCTCAAGTTTGGTTATTAGGTTTCACAGCTACAACATATAAAATTAAAAACTGTTGAGGGATGCTGCCTTGACACTGGGACCACTTGCATGAAACAAATTTGATAAGATATGTAACGAGATGGGAAGCTCAAAATGATACTAAATAATACCAAATTACCTAAGTGACGGGTACATTTTGGTCAATCCAAAGCAAAACAAAGGGGCCGTGGTTTGACACTGGAAGAAATTTCAGATTGGTCTAAGGTTCGTGAGCTTAATGCATTCCGACGCCTCCCAGCAAAAGAGGCCTATCTTCTAAAAGGAAAATGGGCTTCTTTTGCTGGGAGACTTCGATTCGGTGATGAACGATAACTGCAACTTCCTGAACGCCACCGCGTCACTACTCCGTGGGAGTGAGGCGGCAGCAATCTGCGGGTGTAGGAGGTTGCCGCCTGGTGCTGCCCCCTGACGGAGAGGGAGTGCCCAAGGGGTGGCGCTGCGTACGCGGGGTATTGCCACCGCCACAGCGGAGCAGTGCTCGGGTGGGCCGTCTCGTCCACGGCCGGGCCCGGGCCCCACCGTCCCTCGCCTTTGCCGCCTTGCCCGCCTTGCCCCAGGCCCGAGGCCTGGCCAGAGCCTCGCTCTCACGGAGCCTCTGTCTGTATCTGCCTCCACGCCGACACCCTGCCCCGCGCCGCCCCGCGCCGCCCCACCACGGGACGCCGCGGAGAGCACTGGGCGCGACTGTGACTAGGGCCCCGCCAGCAAGCGGCGCCCCGCCAGCGCCGCCAGCGCCAGTGCGTGTGCAGCCTCGACCCCATCCAGACCGAGCGGCCGGCAGCCCGCAGCCTGGCGGGACGGTGATCTTCGCGTCTTCGCGCGCAGTGACGTCGTCGCGCCGTGCCGCCGTGCCGCGTCCGCGACGCGCAGTGAGTGGCGCCGCAGTGCCGGCGCGGAGGCTGGCGAGGCCGCGGCCGCCCACCGACTGCAGACACACCGGGAAATAAACTGAACACGGTGCGCACGTCCCCGTCGAGGCCGTCGACGTCGACCTGCACAGCCCGCGGGCGCGGCGTTCGACCAGGGCGGTGCGGTGGATAGTGCAGTGCAGTGCGACGCAGACGCCGTGGCCGCGGCGACGTCACTGCACATGGCCTCGCGGCCCGGCCCCACGGCCCGGCCGGCCCAGCGGAGGCAGCGGACGGCGTCCGCGTAGCGTCCGCGTAGCGTCCGCGCCGTGAAACAGGTGGGTGCGGCTGGTGCCGCTGGCATGCGGGGCTGGCAGTGCTGTCAGCCCCCGCGGTGGAAGAGCGCTCTGTCTGGAATACACCCCGACGTCAACACAGCCCCTGACTACCCGCACGCCCCCGTCGTCGCGGTGCTCTGCCTCGGTGGCACGGTGACAGTGGCGGGTCCCGACGCGGAGAGTCCCTGCCCTGAGGAAGGGCGTCCTAACGTCGTGCAGCTGTGGAGTGGCAACCCTATAGTCGTGGGTCTACGCAGATGGGGACCCTATCAGCCCGCGGCAGTGAAGATGGGAACCCTACACCCGCGCCCTTCGCCACGCTGTTGACGGCCGCCGCCACGGAGGGCCCTGGAGCTGGTGTCGCATTTATTTCGACGTCGCCGGCACGCTGCTGCTGCTGCCTCGGTCCCGCGGACGTGGCGTGGCGTGGCGGGGCGTGGCGTTGTGGACCGAGGACGTCGACGTCGAGCCGATTCGTCTCGCGCTTGGCGTCACACGCAGACGAGGTACTCGCTGCTTGGCTGAGCTTGCTGCCCCGATGGCCGGGACGGCCGGGACTGCGACGGCAGCGCCGAGCAGCGCCCGGGATCGGCAAAAAGAGCAAATCCGGACATGCGAGTAATTGACGCGAAACCCGACACGCCGCCCACCGCTCCGCCACGCCACGCCACGCCGCGCCGCAGCGCGCTTTTCTCGAGTTTCCGCCGTGGTCGGCGCAGCCATGGCGCAGCCTAGCCTTGGCGCCGGCGAAAAAAAAAACAGACCGACAAAAACGGGCAAACGTCGATTTTGGCGAAAGCCTCGTGGACGTCCTGGCTGGTCGTGGACAAGGCCGAGAGGGCGTGGAGCGTGGAGTGCGGACGGTGCAGGTTGCGCACAGTGGGCCAGAGCGCCCGACGGCACGAGGGTAGGCAGCCCGCACCGCGGCCGTGTCGCGCCGCGGCCTACCTGCGGGGCGCTCCGCCTGGCCCCGCTTGGCTCCGCTTAGCTATCCGCCGCGCGCCGCGCTCGGCGTGAGCCAACGCGCAAACACGCCAACACGGACCAGGTGGTCGCGGAACGGGGAACGCGGATGGCGCCGCCGTCAATACACCGCCGCCGGCAACATCCCCGTGTGTGTGCTCCGGAGTCCCAGTGCCGCGCAGTGCCGCGCGGGCTCCAAGTTGGTAATTATGTTGGCGCAATCTCGGCGCGCTGTGTGCAGGGCGCGGAGGGAGTGCAGGGGCTCCTCGAGGGCTGAAGGGTGCGTCGCCGACCGCGGCGGCGGGACGCGAAGCCACGCGACGTACAGTGGAGGCGGTCAACATCCTGGACGGCTTTCGAGCTCCAGAGTCGCTAAATGGGACCCGAACCGAACGTGTGACCCCACCAATGGATAGCTCTCCGAACGAGGAATCTACTGGTGGGGTCACACGCTCTGTTCGAGTCCCATTTAGCGACTCTGGAGGTCAAAACACGTCAAGAGTTTTGGCCGCCTCCACCGGTCTTCTGGCCCACTGTGCGGCAGTCACTCACCGCGGCCACCAGCACGGCCAGGTGCTCGGGGCGTTACGTCGTTTCTGCACGGCGCTCCTCGGGCCGCCAGGCCATGGACGCCATGGCCGCCATGGCCTGGCCGCCTGCAGCGCGTCGTTCCGCGTTCCACCCCATGAAATCCACAACGAAGAGTCCAAAGGCCGCGCGGCGCCGCAGCGCAGCCCGGCGCAGCCTACCCCCTCCACACGTCATAGTGCCACCGTCACCGCCCTCGCCTCGCCGAGGCCCTGCCGAGGCCCTCGCCGACAACGGAGACCAAGGACCAGCGCGAGCACGTGTGTGTCTGTGTGTGTGTGCGCGCGCGCGCGTGTGTGCGTGCACGGCCAACCATGCCCTGATACCTCCGTCCAAGTGGCCTTTCCTCTTCCCCCTGCGTCCCGGGGGACCACGAGGAAGTAAGGCGGGCAGAGAGCAGGCGGCGGAGATGCGGGAATGGAAAAATAAATCTCCCACCTTCGACGCCTTTTTCCCGTCTGTCCGTGTGTGTGTGTGTGTGTGTGTGTGTGTGTGTGTGTGTGTGTGTCTCTCTGTATGAGTGTGTATGTGTGTGTGTGCGCGCGCGCGTTCGAATCTGGAGAGCGTCGCACGGCCGCACGAGTGAAGGTGAGATTTCCATTAGTCTCGCCAGCCAAACTGGGCGAATAAGAAGTAGTGCAGCGCGCGCCAGTGTGTATTCGCTTCCCAGGGAGCGCTTGCTCCTCAGTCCCCCAGTGTACGTGCGAGAGCGAGTGAGAGAGAGAGAGAGAGAGAGAGAGAGAGAGAGAGAGAGCGCGAGAGAGAGCGAGAGAGAGAGAGAGAGAGAGAGAGAGAGAGAGAGTGAGAGAGCGAGAGAGAGAGAGAGAGAGAGAGAGAGAGAGAGAGAGAGAGAGAGAGAGAGAGAGAGAGACGCACACGACAAGGGCCCTGGCTGGCAGCGCGACCCGGGGCACCACCGCAGACTGCAGTCCGTACAGTCGACCAAAACAACTCGCAAGGACATCGCAGCAATTAGCTGGCAGTCCTTGTGGGCGTCATCGTCCTCCTCCTCGCCTTTCGAGTCGCCGCGCTCGGCGTCTCCGCCGTCGTCCTCGTCATCTCGCAAACCCCTCGCCGCGCGTCGCCGCGCGTCGCCGCGCCTGCATGTTCCATTTCCAAGTCCCACTGTAGTCCTGCCGTCCTGGCGTCCCGTACTTTGACAACGATAAGGCAGGTTGGGGTGGGGAGGGGAGGCGGTAGCTGGCCCTGCGCCTCGCCCTGCGCCTCGCCCTGCGCCTCGCCCTGCGCCTCGCCCTGCGTCCCTCGGGAACCCTATCGCCTCAGCCCACGTCCGACCAGCACACTACACGTCTGTCTGACTGTCTGTCCGTTTGTCCGCCTGCCTGCCTGTCTGTCTGTCAGTGTGCCCGGAAGTCAGTGGCGACCAAGCGGAGGACTTTCTGATCATACTCCTAGTTCTTCGAGTTATACTTACAGTGAGCAGCGACGGTACGCAGTCCAGCGGGGCTCTTTGACGAGGGTGCTCTCGAGGGTGCAGTGATCGCAGCGAGGCCGCGTTTACGGTAAGCGCCGTCGGTCCAGTGACTGGACTCCAGTGACTGGACTACTGGACTCCAGTGACTGGACTCCAGTGACTGGACTCCAGAGAGACTGGACTCCAGAGTGACTGGACTCCAGCGACTGGACTCCAGAGTGACTGGACTCCAGAGTGACTGGACTCCAGTGACTGGACTCCAGTGACTGGACTCCAGCGACTGGACTCCAGAGTGACTGGACTCCAGAGTGACTGGACTCCAGTGACTGGACTCCAGTGACTGGACTCCAGCGCGCACCGCAAGCTCGCGAAGCACGTAACCGCCGAGAGGCTGGAGGCGCTGCCGGCGGTCTGGCAGCCAATAACGAATCGAAAAGGAAAAGGCCGAGCGTGGCGGCGGCGTGGCATCGCGGCGTGATTGCAAATTTAGCGCAGAAAGAAGCGCTCCCGCGTCGGAGTTTTGTTTGACGAATGGATTTTTCTCTCGCGTCGGTGCTCTCTGATACGCACATAGCCTCGTTCAATCTATCCCTGTCTCGCGGTCGGACCCCACAGTGGGCCAGAAGACCGGTGGAGGCGGCCAAAACTCTAGACGTGTTTTGAGCTCCAGAGTCGCTAAATGGGACTCGAACCGAACGCGAGACCCCACCAATGGTTTTCTCGTCCGGAGAGCAATCCATTGATGGGGTCACACGTTCGGTTCGAGTCCTGTTTCGCGACTCTGGAGCTCAAAACGCGTCTAGAGTTTTGGCCGCCTCCACCGGTCTTCTGGCCCACTGTGCCCCGCCCCTCTCCAGGGGCCGGGCCGGGCCGGGCCGGGCCGGGCCGGGCCGGCTGCGTTGTCTTTGGCGCGGGCCTCTGAGGGGAGAGGGCCTCGACGGCGCGGCCCGCGGGGCCCGCGGCTGGGTGCAGGCCGGTGCCGGCTGGCTGTGGGTGATTGCTTCCGTGGCTGCGCGCCGTGCCTGGTCGTGCCGTGCCGCGCCGCTCCCCCGGCCTGCCTGCCTCAACTTTCACTTGGAAGGCTCGGAGGGAGACTCCCACGCATTTCGAACTCGCCCCTTTTTTACTGCCGGGCCCTGGCCTGCCCGACCGAGGGGCGTTTCCCAGCCCGGGTGTTCTCCAGCCGGGACTTGCTTGGACTTGGTTCTCCAGCCGGGACTTGCTTGGACTTGCTTCTCCAGCCGGGACTTGCTTGGACTTGGTTCTCCAGCCGGGACTTTGCTTGGACTTGGTTCTCCAGCCGGGACTTGCTTGGACTTGCTTCTCCAGCCGGGACTTGCTTGGACTTGGTTCTCCAGCCGGGACTTGCTTGGACTTGGTTCTCCAGCCGGGACTTTGCTTGGACTTGGTTCTCCAGCCCGGACTTGCTTTGGACTTGCTTCTCCAGCCAGGACTTGCTTGGACTTGCTTCTCCAGCCACGAATTACCTCTCCTGACCGGACTTGCTCTCTATCCAGGACTTGCTTCTCCAGAACTTACCTCTCCAGACTTGGTCCAGTCTGTGCCATCCCCCAGCCCGGACGGCGGGCCCCAGGGTCGTCGGCCTTCCAAGAACGCGTCGCCATCCTGGGCTGCCTTGTGCCTCGGCGTGCTTCCAGCGTGCTTCCAGCGTGCTTCCAGCGTGCTTCCAGCGTGCTTCCAGCGTGCTTCCAGCGTGCTTCCAGCGTGCTTCCAGCGTGCTTCCAGCGTGCTTCCAGCGTGCTTCCAGCGTGCTTCCAGCGTGCTTCCAGCGTGCTTCCAGCGTGCTTCCAGCGTGCTTCCAGCGTGCTTCCAGCGTGCTTCCAGCGTGCTTCCAGCGTGCTTCCAGCGTGCTTCCAGCGTGCTTCCAGCGTGCTTCCAGCGTGCTTCCAGCGTGCTTCCAGCGTGCTTCCAGCGTGCTTCCAGCGTGCTTCCAGCGTGCTTCCAGCGTGCTTCCAGCGTGCTTCCAGCGTGCTTCCAGCGTGCTTCCAGCGTG